TATATATATATATATATTTGCAGCCAACAAACTTGCTAACATTTCTCCTCCTGAGACTAGAGTCAACATCGTGCCTGGAACACAAATTAGAGAGAGCTTGTCAGCCCTGTCTTAAATTCCCCAAGGGCACTCGTTCATGTCACAGTGTCAACCAACAATTTGACACAACTGGCAGCCTGGCTCTCCGGAGAGGTCTGGGGCTGAAATAACGCAGACGGCTGCCCCCAGGCCAGGGCTCCAGTGTCCCAGCAAAGATCTCCGCACATGAGGGCAGCTGTCCTAGAGCAGGCGTGTTACTGAGGCTGTCAGGAACACATCCACCAAGAAAACGTGGGGAGCATAAAAAGCCCAACTACTGATTTCACAATGAACAGTATTTCCCTGTTACTGGGTTTTCTCTCTTTGGGATAATTTTCTGCATGAATAAGGAGTCTTCTATCCAACAGAGTTACCATGCGGTGAGACTCAGTTTCAAAACAGCTTTATAACAGCTTCCTTGGCTCTGTTAAGACACAGACCCCTGACACAGGTGGTGTCAAATGTTTCTGAGCCTCTCCAGAGTTTTGCAGACCTGCCTCTAGGAGACTGGAAGTGCTTTTACCCGAGCCAAAACTGTCTTAACCTCTCTATGGGTCCCTTCCAAAACTATGGGATATAGCCTTATGCCTGAATGGAGGAATTTCTTTCCTCCCTTCTCAATGCTTAAAAAGCTGACACATAGAGCTCAAACCTCAGCAGCCATCTGAGCCATCAGGAACCAGGTCTGTCAGAATGACTTATGGCAAGGTTAATAAACCTGCTAGCTCAGGTAAGCAGGGAAACCAACCCCTCCCCGGCACAATCTCTGTACACATATGCCATCTCAATCATTTTCATCAGCTGAACCCCAAATAAGAATGTATTAGGGAGAACAGCTTTGAAGAAAAACACATCCTTCCCCGAGAAGCAATCTAAGAAATAAAAATTGAAATCTAAAAACCAGGAAGAAAAACTCCTGCCCTTCCACTCCCTACGCAACGAATGAAGGCAGCCGTGGTCTCCCACGGCTGTGCTGTTACAGCTCCGTGCCCGAGCCGGGCCCTGTGCTGGATGCTGCCAGCTGGCCGCGTCTTCACAGCCCCTCACTCACCCATCACACACACATCTCATCCTGCTCCCCCGAGGGAGCCACGGGAACGGCGCCAGAAGGTTTGGTGAAACAAGCCACGATGACAGCATGGATGGAAAAACGGGGAAGCATCTGACAGGGCAATGTTTTCTTGCCTACAAAACAATGTTGTCTTTATTCCATCCCGTCTCTGCTTTATTAACACAGGTTTCTGGACCTTCCCGGCACCATGTACCCCAGGGAGAAGATGCTATAAACTGTGAACAAAAACTCAGTAAGGGGTGACTAGTGAATAACGCCTCCAAACTCCTGATAAGAAAGAGGAATGGGTGCCAACACTGACTCCCCAATAGATAGAAATGGCAGCATATCTGCGTAGTCCCCTCGAACGCAGCTGAGCCTGCTGCTTGCACAGCAAGCCTAGGTCCCTTGGCCTTGCAATCCAAAAGCAAATGTCATTCTTTGACAAAACTTTGATCCCTTGCACCACTGCCACCAGACACATTTATTCTTCATCCTGCCTTGCCTCTGACCTTTCATTCTGCAACTCAGACTACAAGAGAATTACTGCAAAAATACCTCAGATCTCCCAGCAGCACCAAGGTGGGGCATGCTGCAATTTTAAAAATGAGGATGAGGAAAGCTAAGTGCTAAAGACAGCAACTCCTGAGCCTTGTAAAAATAACCACAGTGAGCCTTAAGAACGATTTTTACACTTATTTCTGAGAACACTTTTTTCTTCCTGAATTAGGGTATTTCTTCATCATGCAAGTTTACACTTCAAATATCACACAGTACAGTCAGCTGGAAGAAAAATCTCCGGATTTTCAGTCTCACTGGAAGCATGCACTGAAACCATTAAGTTTCTCTCCTCCCTGCCCTCACTGAGGAGGGCTGGAACGACAAGCACATGCTGAGTGACACCAGTTTTAAAACATGTATCATCTTAGACCCTCAACTCAGCACTTGGAGTAGCTATCAACAGGATCTTAACTTAAGACCCATCTAAACACTCGCTCTGCTGTATGTGTATAGACTTCATGTATAACTTGGACATATATTGCCATGGTTACAAAATTTTCTATTTCACTCAAAAACCACCAAGAAAACCAGTTCTGGAGTTGATTTCAAAAAGGTTTGAAAGGAAATAGGTTTCAGGAACTCTACGCTTGAGAGGGGCTACCTCATGGTGCCCATTACAAAATAATATAAACAAAAGTGCTTTTCTGCTGGGTTAGTCTTGTAGATGTTCTAGGTAATACTGACAGACGGATAGATAGGTAAATGTTCTTCCTGCCAAGGAAGGTAAAGCAGAAAGTCCTCTCCAAAATGCTTGTGGGTTTCTGAGCAAACTATACAGCGTAGGACCAAAAAAGGATAATGCATTGTTTGACAGATACAGATTAAGCTACAGATCTTTCTCACACTCTAAATTAACTATTTTTAATTAAAAAAAATACAGCACCTTAGGAAAGTCTCAGTCTGTCACCTCAAGATGCTAAAGGAAGGGAAGAATTTAAGGCAAGGGCAGAATCACCACCAGTCTGTGGAGATCTTGATAAATACTCTCCATGTAGCACAGTGCTGCGATAGTATGATCTCGTTTCATAAAGCAGGACACTAAAAATTAGAGAAGAAAAAGCCCACAGCACTTACATGAGCTAATCAGGTATTCTGCATTGCTCTGGGATGGGCTATGGAAACGCACACAACTTGGCTAAGCAGTAACTTGCTAAACCAGTATGACTCTTATTTTCATAGTGTAAGCATAGCCCTTCTAGGCAAGAAGCACCTCGTACATCTGCACAGTGTGAGGACCATTCAAAGTTGATAATGATAATCCTAAGTGCCAAAGTCACCCATGAAAGTGAAACTTAACTAGTTTTGAAAATTTCAGTGTGGGTGTGTTCTTGTACAATACTCTCACAGCATCCTGCAAGGTATTCTTGCTGCGGAGTCAATTCTGCAAAGCTTACAAAGAAGTCACTTAAACTGTTGATTAATCCCCCTAAACGCATATTCAAGTAAGAAGAGGCATTTAAACTAAAACCTCTCAGAGCAGACATCTTATGTTAATTGTGATTCGGTTTGACAGAACTCTTATCATTACTGGGATCTCTAATAAAAGATCATTTAACAATAAATTGATACTAATAATAATCTTCTTAATAACAGTTTTCTTACTTGGATTAGGAACAATATTAACCTCATTACCATTCTTCTGTTTGTCATTAGTATAACAAAGGCTAAATAAAATCTGTTTAAAGAGATCTGTGTTACTGAAACAGCATGTATTTTTAGACTAGATTACTGATGCTGAACTACAAAAATTCAATTTACCGAACTATAAGGCAAAAGTTGTTGTTCCAGAAGAAACATGCATCAGTTTATACTGTGCCTTGCTTTCCATTTAAATAAACAAAGCTGAAGAGTTGCAAGCTTTTCCTAGCAGTGGGATAGGGGGACTGAAACAAGCCTCCTCTTGCATGGGGCAAGCTGAGGTAGGCTCACTGCCAGCAGTTGCCATAACCATCTCCAGGACTCCGGGCTCTAGGTCCAAGACCAAGAGCTTACAGCCTCTCGAGCTTAAATTAACTCTCGTACCATTGCTCTGACACCTTCAGGCACTCCCTTGGGGACACAGGAGTTGA